TTTTGTTCTTGTTTTTAAATAATGTAAAATCAACTTCTTTTCCCTTTCTATCTAGCTCACATTTCTAAGTTAGTTGCTTCTAATTTATTTGTAACACAGGTAATCTCATCCCAATCACATTACTGCTAGCAATGCACTCAAAGCCCGTTAATTTAATCCTATTAATGACAAAAGGATTTATCTAACACACATGTGCATGTATGCATTTAAGATGTATGTCCACACATGTATATACACATATAGACACACTTTCTCATGGATCTTAGCTTCATTTTTAATATTAGACTATGCATATTAAATGCCTGAGAAGTTCATTTCGTTTGCCACATAACCTGACTCTCATTTAGCAATATTCATACTGTCTTATTTAAATGTGCATCATTTTAATGGCCACAAGCTGTGTTCATATGGATCCAGTGCAGGACTGAGCCTGCTTACAGAGAATAAAAATTGCAGAGTGAGGCCATGGTAGCCTTTTGTCAGAAAACTTCTGACTGCAGTCGTAATGACGAAAAGGTGACATCCACCTGCAGAATCCAGCCTTGTTCCTCGTAAACCCTCCTCAAAAACGGTGGGACCTCAGACCCTTGTGATCAATCAGCTCACAGTTAAAGGGTGATGGATCCATTTAACGTTTAGGTCACAAATTGAACCATAGGCAAAAGATGCTGCTGTCTGCATTTTAGTGACTGGATATTTGGGTCACATTTTCAGAAAACTAATACGGGAAGAAGTTTGCGAACATTAAATGTGCATGTGCCTGAGGACACGACTTTGCAGGGGACTGCCTTTGCGGGGTAAGATGACCTCAGCTCCGTGATGCTTCAGCAAGATGTGTCTTATATTCAAGGGAACTTACTAAAAGCTGGCTCAGTACCCCTGTGGCAAACAGCAACCATAACAGTCTCCATAGCAGAGCAAGTGGACTAACAAGGATTTTGTATCACCAGCCTTCCACCCGTTATATTTAAAAGGCTCGTAGAAGGTATGGGCATTAGTGAAAGCAACCGTCCTACCCAAAAGAATCATGCCTGTAAAAATAAATGTAGTAACTTTGAAATTTAAGCTACTATATTTTGATGCTTGGCTTTATGGAGTCTATTCTCCCTTGTCTGGCTGCTACAGAGAAGTCTACTGTTAGCTATTTAGGCCAGGTTTACATTTCAGATTTTTATAGGCACAGCTACATGTGTTGGGTAGAGATGAGGGCATTACATCCCAAATAAGGCTGCCAGTGACAGCAAAAGTCCTGCTGTTAGTATAGTTCATTGTGTTTGAGCAACTAGTATAAACATAATTAAAATAGGTCCTTTCGCGATACAAACTGTATACCCATCTGGAAGGCTTGCCTTCTCAGCTTAGCTTTTTCTCATTTGCAGATAAGGACTGTTCTGTGGTGTCAGGCAGGAGCTTATAAGCATTTTCTCAAATTCTCTGTTATGAATCGTTGTGGACCACACAACAAAAACCACTATTACAATAATTTTATTTCTATGTAAAAACAGGGATATTCCCAGAAGAAAGGCTAGGAGTGATGCCAAGAAATAGCATACTAGCCCAAAGCAGTAATAACAGAGAAACTCTGAGATAATAACTCCTGCATAGCTAAATCTCTTCATAACTTTATCCAGGTTAAAAAAACCCAAAACAACAAAAACCACACACAAAAATCCCCAACCAAATAAAAAACCCCAAAGGAACAAAGCTGTTTTCTCCCCACTAAAATTTCTTTCATTCTCATTTTCATCAGTATATTTCCAGCTGTTTCTATTATGGAAGCTGGTCTGAAAAAAAAGGCCATTTTTCTATGTGGAAAATTAATTTCTTTCAGTCTGTTTGTTCTGTGAAGAAGCTTGACTAATTTATTTCCATCGTCATTTATCTTCGGAGTTCCCTGAAGTGACTGCAGTTCCTATTGAACTAAATATTCTCTGAGTCTCTAATGCGTTTTTGGTTTTAGACCCACCATTTTACGGGTGAAATCTGGGGTGTTCAGCTATTTAACCATCTGTTATCCTCCCAAATTAGATTCTTAAAATGTCTAGGTGCAGTCTCAGAAATGGTAATGAGCATTTAATATTCTGCTCCACAAAATCTTACTCCTTGCGGTCATTTGATGTTATTATCGGAGGAAGTCGGGATGGAAGTCCAAGCAGTCTTCTGGTTTATTGGAGTATCATTTACCATGCTGCACAGATGTCCCCATACAATCTGCCCATCTGTCAAGGTTTATATTTACACAGCCGAAGAGATTTCAGTGTAGATTCCTGTCTTACTCCCAATCGCTCATTCTGTGTTGGCATCTGTTTATTTTATTACTTGGTTTATCATGAGAAATAATTAAAAAACAATCAATCTGAATAATTTCCGCAGGAGATTGTCAGGCTGCTTTTTTCTCTTCTGAAAATTTCTGTAGTTGTCTTCTATTTCTCCCTTGCTGTCTCAAAAGAACATCTCTTGTCTTTTCCCACTTCTTTGATAACAGAGCAGACATAAAACAGGAGAGGGAAACATCGGTATTGTCCAGGAGAAGGGCAGATGTTAGTAACTGTTTCCGTATGCTGTTTTGCTTTGGTTCTCATGCAATTGGAAGCATCTGCATCATCTTGTTTGAATTCCATAATCTCTTTTGATTAGACTCCTCCTTCTATTTTTTTCTTTTCCCTAACTTCAAAGAAATATTATACCTGAAAATTTTCTAGAGCCTTCCTGCACAAGACAATTTTGTCACATTCTCTTTACAGCATTAGGACCTTGGTAGCTGCTTTCCATATCGTTAGTTCCTGCGTGTCAGGACCTGTAACAAAGGAGCTGGTTTGGCCAACAGCTCTTCAGTGTTACAAAACTATTTCTGATGACTCACTCTAATGAGATATGGTTTGAACCCTGCCGGCAGTAGCCTGCAGCAGCAGGGCTCGGGTCAGACAGCCTCCTTCAGCACTCAGGGTGCCGATCAAGAATGAAGATTTATCCAGAGGACACAACCAAAGGACGGCCAAACCCAAGTTGCTCGTATTGTTGGCACTGAAGAAATGATTCAGAAAAATATAATTTGACCATATAAGTTGAGGCAACGCCAGGACGTCAGCCTGCGGATAGGGGTCTGCATGGGGATCAAATCGTCCCATGGCTGGGCAGCAGCACAGCTGTGACAGCCCACGGGCAGGGGCTCAGGGCCAGGAAGGGCTGGTGATGCCCTCAGGGCTCCGGCAGGGAATATCTTCTGAGGAAGCCACTTGTCAATTTTATGTATTTATGTATTTTAATGGATTCATGTAAAAAAAAAAACCTGTCAGGGTCTCGGAATATTATCCATCTAAGGACCCAGTCCAAAGGTTACTGGACTTAGCTAGGTTGGCTGAGCGGCCAGGGCAGGGGAAGGAGAGGTGGTCAGACGAGGTGACACTCCAAGATCAGCCCAAATAAGAGATAAAATGCTACTGTAATAACATTAATGGGAAAGCTTTACGCTGTTATCTGCTTTTCCTTTCCAAACACAGGTTTGTCATAATATTTTATAGGGACGGTTTTGCTTTAGAAGCCATTCACTATTTTGCATTCCAGCTTCATTTTATCTTTCCCGTCAGACACCAGCTATAATTAAGTTCACAGACCTACGTGAAAATCCTCATGGGAATCAAAACGTTTCTACTTCATGCTCCTGCGCTGATTTTTATCTGAGGATCACACAGTGTTTTACCACTGATAATTAATCTTTCCAGGAGCTCTTAGACACAGGTGAGAGCTATTATTCAGGAACAGTAATTAAGGTGAAGAATGCCATGAAGATGGACAGCACCTGTCGAGAACAGAGGGCTGAGCTGAACTCAGAGTGTTGTCGTGCTGGAGAACCTCTGACGGCCTCTCTCTGTTCCTCAGTTTCCCTGCTTGAACAATGACGCCTTTCTTGCTGTGAAGTCTTCAAGACTTACCAAGAAAAACGCTTCATCGAAGAGTTAGGTATTAAGCCTTTTAGACAGGATAATAAATAGATGCAGATCAAGAGGCTTACTCGATAGAGCACAGTAAAACATTTCTGCTTAGGGAAGCCATGGCACGTCGTGACTTTTTGCAGGTTTGTGCAGGCTGATCTTGTATTTGGTGTGCAAACACAAGGATGGTGAAGTTTCAGTCTGGATGAAAACTAATGGATACACACTCTGCAAAGAGGTGTTTCATGAAGGCTGTGTATTAAAAGGAAAGTGGCAGATTGTAGAGAGTGGAAAGTAAAACTCACATGAATAACTGTGTTTGTTCAGTTCAAAGTCGTCTGCTTCAGTTTGTACATTTTAAATATTTTCCAGTTTTATTTACCTGCTAACTTCAAAGGTCAGAATGCTAATTGCCCTTGCCGTGACATTTAATGACATCATTGTCACCTAACACAGAACAGGAAGGGTTCTTTTCTCCCCTTTCAGGTTTTTTAAGGTTCAGCGGAAACTAAATTAGGTAAACACATCTTTATATCTTTTACTCCTGGCACATGTTACAGGAAGAATTAAAAAAAAAAGTCGATTCATGTTAAAAGTGATCACAAGGCAGGCTTGCCCGTAAAGCTGCTCTCTGAAGCTGAGCTAGTAAAACAATAATGGAGATATTAAAAGTTCTCACCTAATGATTCTGGTTTGCAAGTACCGTGCTGCACGCTACTTTCAGCTGTCTCCTGGCAATAGCCCTTGTGCCCTGCAACAGGCAACCCGTGTTCTTCAAAGGCGTGTTTCCACAGCGGCTGAATATGGGCAACACGAGAGAGCCGCTTCTCTTTGCGCTACCTGCACGAATAGCTTCTTTGAATTAAATAAGCCCATCTCGCGTGGTCATTCAGGACTGCACGGCGCAGGGACAACAGCGGACAGCTTGCTCTGCGCCTGCTCCTGTTTGGATGGATTTTTCTTTTGCCTCTTACTGGTGTTCTGGCTTTGTCCAGAGCCCTCAGACCAGGAGGTCATGGAAACCTGCCCACTGACTTAGTCTCTTTCCTTCTGTCACCTTCCTTCTAGGTCAACGTGATTTTGATTTAGCCGATGCTCTTGATCACCCAGGTAGGTAAATCTCCTATCCTTATTTTACCATGGCATTTAGACCCAATAATAAATCTTAAGTCCTTTTCCTTGAGGACTGGAATATGAAGTGGCTAGTACTTAAGTTAAAGATATACAGAATTGAGAAATGCTAGATTTCCATGTTTCTATCATAAAATTAAAAGTTTCTTTAAAACAAAAAAAAAGGCTTTGAAAACATATCCCTTCGTTTTTAGCTTCTGTCATGATGCGTAAAGATTTATTGAATGCAGCTCTCTAGATTTGCAGATACCTTCTTTTGATAAGTTGAAAAAGTTTAAGCTGTTATTGTTTATTGGTGTGTCATTGTGTTCTACAGAGGACATAATTACCAGGAAGCCTACAGTGGTCAGAAGACCGACAAGGCCTGTGCTGAGTGAGTAATGAAGACAACGGGTCATAACTGATTTTAGATATGTAGAAACTGTCTCCCATGAGATTCTTGATCATATTTCCTAATGTACTGTAGCTGAGATCATTTGTGTGAATACTAGCTGTCTTCTACATGTAAAGTAAGTGGGTTTTGGACAATTACCAATTTGTAGACCAGCAGTCTTTACTGCTTCCAGTAAGACTTTAGAGCATGACTGGCCACTGACGGCATTTTATTTCCTGAAGATCTTCTTCACCCTTTTCCAGCCTGTATTGAACTCCCTGGGGAGTATAACCATGGGTAACTGTTGCTAAAAATGGGTAACTGTTCTTCTGCTTTTTTTTTCCATTACCTTTTCTTTTAGCATAAATATTCGTGATTCTTAATAACAGACCTGGAAAAGAATCAGAAGGCATTTGGGTATTCTTTCTTCTCCCCATGTATTTACTTAATATTAGCTAGTATTGATTGCTACAAAGACCTGTGTCAGAAAGCAAAAAAGGCTCTGAACAGCAGAGAGAACCAAAAGGTTTTAGCTGTAGTCCTGAGGATGACAAATTATGATTTCCAATGAACACTCGTTATTGTTGAAAAAACCCAAACCCCAAACAACAACAAAACCACACATGCATTTATGATGAAACATTTTATGATAACATAGAGATTTTTCAACTAAACTACCTGAAGTAAATTTCTGGCTATCATACAAAATGCTTGAATCAGGAAATGCTGGATAACATTAGCCCACACAACAACTTTCAGCTTTTTTCTGGATAAACATTGCAATAAGTCTTTAGGTACACAAAAGCAGTTACATTTTCCACACGATTCTCTGGCTTGCTCTTTGAACAAACAAGGCAGTGTTTTGCAAATGTGGTAGCTACTAAATCCTGTAATGGTTGCATTCTTCCTTCCCACTTCATTTTGCAAAGAAAATCTGTGTTTGGCCTAGATTAGAAGTGTCTATTGTAAAGTACTGCTAAGCCACTGCCCTCTACTTAGCTAACTGTCCTGACTTCCTTTAAAGTTTGTGGAGAGAAATCAGCATAGGGTCATAGAATCACAGAATGGTTTGGGTTGGAAGGGACCTTAAGATCATCTAGTTCCAACCCCCCTGCCATGCATGTCTAGGGACAGTTCATATCACTTTAAATGTGGATTTGTTCTCATCCTGACATTTTAAGTAGGTTACTTGAATCGTGCCCTCAGTCATGTTTAAAGGTAACCTAGGGATGCCAGTATCTACAGTGAAGCTGCCTCAGTCAGGTGAAAGGAATTTGATTTTTAGGGACTCCTAAATCTGTTAGAGATACGGCCATCAGGTGATTATCTGCCCTACCTGAATCAACTTCACTAATTCTTGGGAATGGAGAAGTCCATGTTTTCCAGACCATTTTGGAATCTCTTTCAGCACTGAAGAGGATTGCAGGAAGTTTAAAAGCAATTAAAACTAATTTAGAAAAAACAGTGTTAAAAATCAGTTACTGTATTTGGAAACATGTGCAGAAAGATGATACAAAGGTATGTCCTAGCATCTGCCTGATGCTTCATCTTAACCTCAGGGTCTCCTCTATGTCTCATTCAGCCAGCATCATTGAGAAATGAGGCTGCCTGAGATGATGATTTTGGTTGAGCTGGAGCCAATTACTGTACAGGCCATGTCCTCTGGGCATCACCTCCCACATGGAAACCTCTGCCTGAGCTGAAGCTCTCTGTAGGCACCTCCCATCTAGTGTAACAAAGTTCAACACAAAACTTAATGGACGGAGAAGGTGATGTTTATTTGCAAAATCTCTAAGTAAGTTGATTTTACCCACTCACATTCATCCTGCCATTGATTTAATTCAACCACACGCTCAAACCCACACACGCATGAGCACCAAGATGTGTGTGCTCAGGTGGTCTGGTGAGCATCATGTGCAACACAGGACAAGGTACGCTAGCTACTGAGTCCTTATCCCGTCTCTGCGGTTCTTCTTGATCAGAAATGACAAGCTAGTTTATGTACAGATCTTTTAGACCCTTTAGGAGTCATCAGCTATTATGGAGAGGTCCTTTGCCTCAAAATCTTGCGTACTTCAGCAAGTACGTCTCTGAACCCTAGGGCAGGTTGCTGCCCACTGTCTGGTTTTGCTTGTTTGGGGTACACAGACTATGTCTACAGCCTATTTTCTGGGTGGGCGAACAGGAAAAGTAATGGAATAGGTGATATGCTGCAATCTTTGGCTTGAATGCCCTTCTGCTTTTCCTCTGCTGACAAGTCATCTGTGCTGTCATCTTATCGGAGCGCAGGCCTGCTGGTTTTGACAGAAACAACACATTCCTCAATTTTACTGCTGGGAACAGTGACCTTCATTGTCTGTTCCTTTAACCCTTTGCTCTGCTGTTTCTTCTGGTCCCTACAGACACAGCAGAAAGATGATACAAAGGTATGTCCTAGCATCTGCCTGATGCTTCATCTTAACCTCAGGGTCTCCTCTATGTCTCATTCAGCCAGCATCATTGAGAAATGAGGCTGCCTGAGATGATGATTTTGGTTGAGCTGGAGCCAATTACTGTACAGGCCATGTCCTCTGGGCATCACCTCCCACATGGAAACCTCTGCCTGAGCTGAAGCTCTCTGTAGGCACCTCCCATCTAGTGTAACAAAGTTCAACACAAAACTTAATGGACGGAGAAGGTGATGTTTATTTGCAAAATCTCTAAGTAAGTTGATTTTACCCACTCACATTCATCCTGCCATTGATTTAATTCAACCACATGCTCAAACCCACACACGCATGAGCACCAAGATGTGTGTGCTCAGGTGGTCTGGTGAGCATCATGTGCAACACAGGACAAGGTACGCTAGCTACTGAGTCCTTATCCCGTCTCTGCGGTTCTTCTTGATCAGAAATGACAAGCTAGTTTATGTACAGATCTTTTAGACCCTTTAGGAGTCATCAGCTATTATGGAGAGGTCCTTTGCCTCAAAATCTTGCGTACTTCAGCAAGTACGTCTCTGAACCCTAGGGCAGGTTGCTGCCCACTGTCTGGTTTTGCTTGTTTGGGGTACACAGACTATGTCTACAGCCTATTTTCTGGGTGGGCGAACAGGAAAAGTAATGGAATAGGTGATATGCTGCAATCTTTGGCTTGAATGCCCTTCTGCTTTTCCTCTGCTGACAAGTCATCTGTGCTGTCATCTTATCGGAGCGCAGGCCTGCTGGTTTTGACAGAAACAACACATTCCTCAATTTTACTGCTGGGAACAGTGACCTTCATTGTCTGTTCCTTTAACCCTTTGCTCTGCTGTTTCTTCTGGTCCCTACAGACACACGCATTTCCATTTGTATTTCATTCATATCAACCTTAGCATTTCTGCAACAAATCACTGCATGAACCCTCCAGAGTAGAGCCCTGCATTTTACCTGCATTCTTCATCTCAATAATAAATTGAATCCAGTTTGCAATTTATTGCTTCTTACAGTGTTAGTATTTGACACATAAAGGTATTTTTGAAATGCAACTCTCTGCTGGCCAGACACAGACAGGATCAACACCTGGCTTGACAAGAACAAACCGAGTCATGAATTTGATTATTTTCCTGCCAGATTGGTGACATCAAAGCATTTCTGAGTTGTTACACAAACGAGACTAGATACTGTGCAAAAGCAGCTTCCCACTCCCTCTGGATATAAAGAACACATGAAGGCAGACTTCTGCACGGTGATGCATTTGGATGGATTTTCCTGCGTTTTGGGAATTCTGACACAATTATAATGAAAAAAACCCACTTAATTGAGTGTCTGTCTAATTTTCTGTGGCAATAAGCATTAGTATCAAAATTTAGGTAGATTTTGCTGTCCCTTCTGATTCATTCCAGCACTCCACATTTATAAAGAGCAAGAAAGGGATCGTTGGAGTTATGACATCCATCTAATGTATTTCTGCCTATCACTCAGTGACCTTTCAGAGCTCACCGTCTTTCCATACCCTAAAATACCAGCCACATACTCATATCCACACCTGCATGCTGGAAATGGAGTTCCTCTTGTTTATGCATCTGCAGCTCACTGAAAAATTGTTTATTGGAAGGCAAATTCCATCCCAGGTACAGCAAGACGTGTACATTGCTGGGGGAATGGCAATAGCCTGTTGATTCACTGCATAACATGCACATGCAGACATTTAAGTATATTTTAAAACAGGAAGTTTAAAAGCAATTAAAACTAATTTAGAAAAAACAGTGTTAAAAATCAGTTACTGTATTTGGAAACATGTGCAGAAAGATGATACAAAGGTATGTCCTAGCATCTGCCTGATGCTTCATCTTAACCTCAGGGTCTCCTCTCTGTCTCATTCAGCCAGCATCATTGAGAAATGAGGCTGCCTGAGATGATGATTTTGGTTGATGATGATTTTCTATAGCTCAGCCAAAGAAAAACAGACTGTCACCCAACCTCAGACAGGCGCGTATGATCGCTTGAAGCAAAAATTTTTATGTCACCATGACCCTTACATAAGTTAGTTGATTTAATTATCTCTCCCTAAGTAGGTTTATTATTTCCCAGTATTTGTTCTTGAAAAGGGTATTCAGTTTTTGCAGTTCAACAAATTACACATGAGCCAAACATGCATACACCAGTTTTAACCACAGACATAAATGTTAATAAATAAGACATAAATGTTAATAAATAAGTATATTTAAAAAATAGATACATTTTAGTATCTTAACATAGCTAATTTTATTTATGTACTTGCAAATATATTAAAGAAGTATTGATCTTGATTCCATTATGACATTTATTCTGAGCTTATTTCAAGCAGAAATAAATCTTTCATATTTTGAGTAGAAAATACTGTATCATTTGTCAAATATTGTGTGGGCAAATATGAAATTTTGTAAGAGTTTTCAAGAAAAGTGTAATACCTTATTTGAATTTGTGGGACTGACCTGAAAAAGTTGCTTGTCAAACATTCAGTTGTACATTTTCTATTAAAACTAACATGTCATTTCCCTCAAGAATTGTGTGTAACTCACTTCTCCACATCTTCCTCCTTTTCATTTTAGACAATGATCTGCATTTAGGAGATGCTCTTGGTGGGGGTGAGTACTCTCTTCCTTTCTCACATATAATGGTCGGGGTTTTTCGTAATCTTTTTCTGAAGTCTGCCTAATTTGTGAAAAGAGATTTCAAGACTGAAGGAGGAACTGTAGTAATGGGAGTCATTACAACTCATGTACATGCAGCCCTTTTGCCAGAGGCCATCGTGCAGAGCGGGGACAGCAGGATGGGCTGTGTCTGGCTGCCAGCTGTGGGAGCTTGCAGGCTGGCCTACCTGCGTGAACTAAGTCAGCTACGGTTTACGTTACCATGCCAGGCTGCCACAGTCGTGGCTGGGGAGAGGATGTACTGCCTGTTCAGCCGTGATGGTTCAGGGTGGTGGCCTCTGGCAGAAGGTTGAAGACAACAGGTGATGGCAGTAGTTTCTTCAGCTACCAAAAATTAGTCTGCCTAAGATTAGGAATCAGAGATAACGGTGGGTGGAGAGAGATGTGAGCTTGTTGTAGCTCTGCTGATCCCAGATCAGAAATGCAGGAAGGAATGTTTCAGAGATGAGCACTGATGGACAAGATATAGCTTAAGCTTGAAGCAATCAAGCAGTTGTAACCTGCTATAACTTCCGGGTATTTCTATAACATCCAGAACTGACCCAGGAAGTATTCACCGTACTGTGCTGAGGCGTGTAGACATACGAAATCCCTGACTTTGGGAATTTTTTGCACCACATTTTGTTCAGTGTGTTTAGAGGTATACCAAGGACGTGAAGTACTCTAGAAAGGTTCTTGTACACTGAAATTATCTAAAATGCAAGTAGTATTGATTCAAAGCCTAAAATTCCACTTGAATCAAGGCTACACAAAAGAAAAATTACCTCTCAGCCCATTGCACAGAACCTCTGAATTACGACTCTGGTTGCAGTGGTCTGGTTCACTCATGTTTCAGTCTTAGAGAATCATAACTTTTATATTATTCTTTCCCATTTCCAGGGCTTCCTGCATTTCCAGGTTCCCCTGTGGCATTTCATGCCTGTGTTTGAATGACATGTTAGCCCACACTTTATAAAGCTGAATTTAATTTTGTTTATAATTCCCATGTTTATACTGTCACTTCTTCCTGCCTGTACTAAATGTCCATTCCTGCAAGTTTTTGATGGGTACTGTTATGAGAGGATGGGTTTAGTATGTTGATTAAATTATTAATGAACAGCTTAAGTATCTTCACTAAAACCCACCTTTTCATTCAGAGGATGGCAAATGATGTTTCCCTCAGTTTTTATTTCTTTGCTCCATTTTCAGTTCAGGTTCTTAATTGACATTCGTACATGGTGTAATGGGATTAATGATATATACCTCATTATCAATAGTTCTGAAGACATTATTTTTTCACTAGCTATGCCATAGAATATATCTTCTTATGCTTAGAGAAGACTGAATAAGTGCAGAATCATAATAGAAATGAATAATGAGATGGGTAGTTTTCTGCTTTTGTGCCATGGTGAGTCTTATTTTGTTACACACAGTTCTGGAACAGAACAAGTCTCTTCTTCTATTGAATAGAATTAATGGGGCAAAGTCTGATTCAGCAAAGCTTTAAGACTCTACCTAAAATCCATTGACTGCAGTAGGCTAAACTCGCCTGAAGTTAAGCATATATCTAAATAATTTGCTGAAGCAGAACCTAAACATTACTCACAAACAGCATTATATTTAGCAGCTAGGCAAGAAGAAAACATGATAGAAGGGCATCTGGCATGTATTGAAGGTGAAAGAAAGATTTAAGGAGAGGGATGGAAATTGGCATTTATTTCTGTGACCTAACTTTGATTTATTCAGAGCTAAATTCACTGTCTGGCTGAAAACAGTTAAATATGCAACTGAACTGGTTGGAGAAAGGACGGCAAGAGGGGACCTACTCTATACATGCAGAGCAACAGCCCTGGGCGTTAACTTTGGCAGGTTTTGACCTGAGACAGCTCTTGCTACTCCAGTACTGTATGTGCAGTTTGGAAACTGCAATTAGTCATCAGATCTCCTGCTCTATCCAATGCATCCCTTCCTAATACTTCGGCAAAAATTAAGGCCAAATACCAGCACAAACTCCTAAACAACAAAGCTGAAGTCTGAGTTCATTTTGCACTGTTCAAGAGTAGAAAATTCATCATGCGTTAGATGAATTCAGCACCTGTTAGACGAAACTAATCTCCAGCTCTTAGTAATACCTGCTGATGGCACAGAGATAACCTGTTGCCTCCTGCCCAGCCCAGAACACCAGCTTCTCTGTCGGCTCTGCATAACTGCACCACTGACACCTACAGTAACACACTGTGCTTCCCAGCTGCCAGCATTTGCCAGAAATATGTGAAATATTTTCCTTCAACATTTTTGTGAATTCCCTCCTTTTAATTTTGAAAATATTCCCTTTTCACTTTCTAATTACTTTTAGTAGCTAGCTATTTGTTGATATAGGGCTTGAGACTTTTTAACTAGTGACAAGGTCCTTTTCCTAATTCACCGGAGGACAAATTAGAAATAGGTATAAAATCTCAGGTTATCATACTCTTTACTTACAGCTCTCACTTTTGCCTGGCCAACCATCTAACACTATTAATTATCAATAGGTGACATCCCAAGAAAACCTTTATACCCACCTCTTCCACCACGACCGGGAAGCCATAGTAATTCTGGTAAGAATATTTTCTCCTAAGAAAATCTAGCACTATGAGCTGTTCAGAGCAGATATTTTGAATAGTTTACTCTCTTAATTCTTTATTAATAGTTTTTATTATCCCTTCACTCCATCTCCCTTTTGTAATCACTGTTCCTGACCCAGGGTTTAGAAAGATTTTCTGAGTTTTAGTGTTGGTACCATAGAGCTTTTCTGTCTGCCCAAAATGTGGGACGTTGACTCCTAAGTGGCATGAGACTAACACTCACCTTGTTTGCCTTTTCATTTTGGGTATGTATACACTGAACCATGCTAAGGTTCAAATTTGATATCTAGCCACAAGGCGTGGATAAGCTTATGTTCAAATCCATACTGAGATGTGCACCTGAGATGGCCCTGGGGCATACAACAGGTGGGACTGGGGAGATGGATGTAAGCCTGTATTGCTTTTGAGTGTGGTCCCAAACACCCACTTAAATAAAGTGGAAGTGGCACATCTATCCCAGCTACCATCATGTATCCCGTATTTACTTCTGGTATGATTGTAGTGGTGAGCCGTGGGCAGGTCCTTCTGGAGTCCTTCTGGAGTCTTTCCTGGAAAGGACCCACTGACTTCCTGCTCCAGGAACCGCTGGGATTTGAGATGTCCATATTATATAACGATTTGTGCTACTGAGAACTCAAGCCCACACATCCCACAAGTGCCAATACAGACGCAGAACAGGTAGACACCAACAGCTTTAGTACTCCAGCTTCCAGGTGAATTTGAATAGGCGACCATTCAGTGCAAGACACCTGACCTATCCGCCATGTCGAAGCTGGGATTTCAAAGGTCTCTTAGCCCTCCTTACTGCATTTCAAAAAGACTGGACAAGGGAGCTGAAGGGGTTACCATTGATCAGATAATTTTGCAAAATAAATCCTAATCTTTATCTTGCAGGAGGTTTTGATGACTCAGATCTCCTTGATGGGAAGCCTTTACCACCACATGTAACAGGTAGTATTTGCCAATTCTCCTTGCAGCTTCTCCCTATTACTTGTAACTTGGAGCTGGCTGGTTTTGCTTTAGTGGTAATCTGTTGTCACTGCAGGTATAGGACAAGACTCTGCTATTTTTATTTAAATTAGTTATTCTTCTCCACAAACCATGGCTTTGAGCCTGAAGCTCAAACTTGAAACACATTCCTAAATACTTTGTAGCGTTCTGGCACATGCCAGAACCTTGCAGGATTAATCCCTTTGAATTCAGCTAGGACAGTCCCAAAGCAAGGGGCTTCTGCTGAGAACTGAAAGTAGATGCACCAGGCCTATGATCTTGACTTAAATTACTGATAAATCATCTGATTGGCAGTAAAGAATAGCCAGAGGATACTGGCCTCCCACTCCCTGTGAAATCAGCTTGATGTAGACTGCTAAGTATTATCCTTTTTTTAGAAGATAATATTCTTCTCCAAAAACGAAGTGTCAGGAGGATAGACGGTTATTCCTCCGGCCAGCGCAGCTGTCAGTCAGGACTGGAAGGGGAGCTCCTCTCTCACAGTCCTGTCCAGCCGCCCCCTTTCACCTTCTGTACGAAATCACGCTTTGCGTGATTGAAACCTTGTTCTCAAAACAAGATGAAAAACATTTCTTGATGAAACTTCACCCTCTATTCCAGGAGAAGAAGAGCATAATTTCAATCATGGAGGAAACACGGGTATAGTAAATAATTTATTCTATAATTTGTTTCCGATCATCATAAAATAGTAAGAAAATGTTAGCCTTACAAAGTACATATACTAAATTAGGCTTTAAGACACCATTTTCACACCAGCTGTAATGTAGCGTAATTTCTAGTCTTCTGCTTAATTCTGTTTAATGAATTTCCAATGTTTCACCAAACAATTCTCATAGTTTGGCAAAAGCACACCTTAGTAGAGAATATGCTTAACTCAAACCATTTCAGTGCCTCTGAAAAAAATCTCTCTCTTTTTCCACAGATTCAGGATTAATAGCTGGAGTTACATCTCCTATAATTTCTGCTTTTGTAATATTAGTTGTTGGATCAATAGCGGCCTACTCCGCTTATAAGAACAAGAGACTTTGTTTCAAACCCCATGGTAAGACCAAATTGGTTTCCAGCTTTCCGAGTTGACTTAGCGCTGGAGCAGATGGGAATTTTACCAACAATTTCAGCGGGGGCAGAAATAGGTCAGGGATGAGGGCATTTGAAAATCTCGTCCTAAACAAACTCACTGGTCTGTAAGATATACTGGTAATTAATGTTTTTCATCAAGAACAAGTATAGGAAGCCATAATGTGCCCAGAAGTTGGATGTACGTAACTTTATGAAGGAAATTACATGACGTGAGGTCTCTGCCACCACAGAGGTGACTGACTGTCATGGCCCTGTGTGTGGAAACCAGTCTGCGTGGCCCAGATCAGCCTTGCCTGGGGCATCCCCATGTATCCTCTGGCCAGGGCCCCCATTTCAGCTCTGGCCTGGGTGGGCCTCCTGCCCCAGCCTGTGCCACATCCCTGGCACGCCTGCCCCGGCCATGAGCCTGGGTAGCTGGCTGGGTTTCCTGGCTTGGCCTTGGGCGGGCCAGTTGCCTTGTCTTCATCTGACAATGGCTGGCCCATCCATGGGGCCTGTTTGCCATCACCGCCCCTCTGTGCGTGCCTGCCACTGGGGAGGCGACGGCCTGGGCTTCCCTGCTGCTGCCTTTGGCTCCCAGCTCTTTGGGAACAGCCCAGCCCTAGCCCTTAGCTGCCACAGAGGTCAATTTAAACCTCTAATTCATGTTATTTGTTCCATAACGGGACTAACGACTAAGACATGAGTCTCCACACACAGGAGGTGTGTGGAGAAGCTTCACAGGCATTTCTGAGAGATCTGGGATCCTCCAGCACTTCAGAAAGCCCCAGCCTGGGGCTGCCATAGCGGGCTCCGGGGTGGCTGCTGCTGGCCGGGTGCCGGGGGAAGGCTTGGGCAGCGTTACACAGGGGAGATTCAGCCGGATCACGGCCCGGGATGTCTCGGGGGAGGCCCGCCAGGGCCTGAAGGCTGTTTGTGCCCTCAGGGTCTGACAGTCACTTATTTTCCTCTGTTTCTATGGCCGGGGTGTAACTAAAGCATCAGGTCAGTGATTCTGCGGCCCTCTAGAAATGGGGAGAGAGACAATTGGGGAAGGCTGTCTGTATGTCTCTGGGGATACGAGGTTCCCACCTGCTGCCTCAAAAGGACTGGAGCAAAAGAAGCCCAGAAGAGCTGGCAAAGGGCATCCGCGGTGGAAATGCTGAATGTTCAATCTTCATTTTTCAGGCGGGGCTACAGTGTAAACTGCTGAAAGAAGAGTTGCCCTCTGATCACAGGCTCCTTTGGTTGGTGACATTCAGCGCACAGATCCGACAATTTTTTTCTACTTTATCATTCTGACAAAAGAAAAATCTTCCTCTAATGAACGTTTTGTTGAGACATTGCAATCCTACTCTTTTTTACCTGATGTCACTCTCGCACCTTGAGCTTTACATCATCAAAAATGTGCTTAAAACGTCTGGGGATGGTATTGAACTATCTGACCTGCATTCATAAAGGTTGGATATGCATTTTGATTCAGAAGTTATTTTAAAAACCAAAGAAATCAAGTTTAATATAAACTAAAAATGTAAAGATTTTGGTTTGTGAGCATTTGAGTCACCGAACAATTTTTTTTTCCTGTTTTCAAAATTAGCCAAAATACTTAATCCTTCTGATGATAGAATAGGAATAAGGAAATTGCCATTTCCGTTCATACATGTTGGGATTCTTTAGTATATTTCTGTATTGTCTATAATGTTCAAGAAAAACCTGAAGTTGTATAAAGGATTACAAATTTTAATGCCTTTACTTTGTATTTATGTCTGAATTCTAGCAAAGTGAAAGGACCTATAGATGGAAAATTCATTCTTGATTTTAAAATATAGCATGAAAGAATATGTACATTGATGAACCACTGTTTAAAAAAAATAAAAATGAGGAACACATGCTGATTTATTTATTTATTTGTTTGTTTGTTTGTTATTGAAATGGTGTTTAGCTCTTCTCAGGAACTGGAATTTGACATAAATTTTGTTTCTCTTCTTGAAAATGTAGGTCCTGCTCTAGAAGCCTTTAAAGGCATTAATCTGGCAGCTGGTTTTTTAAAGAATCATATTATTCATAATTTCTGTAAAGGGAAAATAGGTACGAAGTTTTCAGAATCACTTAGAACGAGTCTGTGGCACTTTGTTCTAGAAAATCTATGTCACACCAGCTTTAAATGTCATACATCTGCAGAGGTATGGTTGATAGAGTTTTGCTAGCAAGGCTGTTTCATCTTTTTCCTTTGTTTCTGATCAACCTTGCTGTGCTAACAAATGTCCTTAAGTAGACAAATCTATTGACAAAAACTAACGCTTTTCCAGTCTCTCTGCCTTCATTTAGTTAACTGAATCCAAATACTAGGAAATGAATGAAATGCAGATTGAATGGCAAAACTAGTAGTCTACCGACATAATTCCGCAATACAGCCATTTTAGTTAACTCTTTAAAGCAAGGAGGAAATCTGTGTGTTTTTATCTTCAGCTTATATGTGAAGCATGCTTTTTCTTACTGACATTCCATGTAGATGGAGGTAAACATGATTTTGTGTTTATTAAATTGTCAAAAGACATCATCTGAAAAAGTACTCTTTTCATAAAATAAAATACTATACTATCTCAATTATATTTGAAATGGATATATATCAGTTGCTGAGGAGATTACCATAATCTTTATTTTGATCCTGAAAGTAATAAATGATTATGTACATCAGTTTAAATACGGAAACATCTTGACAACACAAAAATGAGTGAGCACCTTTGTGGCTATCACTTTCAACTTATGAATGATAACATATTTTTACTATGGTTTTCAAGGACACTTGATATTTCTTTAAAAATGCTGATTTTCCATGTTAATAGTTAAAACAGATTCATATATATTTTGCCAGGTAGACATAAAGTTTTGATTAATGAAACTTTAAAAGTGTTTTGTGGTTACCACTTCAGTTGTTTGTTTACCAATGAAAATATATATTTTGCTTCTTTCTCTTGAAAATTTTCAATAAACACATACTAGGTTTTATCTAAGATGATCTAAGTTTTGTTTGTTTTGTTTGTTACTTTCTGGGACATATGCCGGCTGGTATCTTCTATATACAAATTTATCTATGTCCCGCTAGAGAAGAGAAAGAAATGCTTCAAATTAAAGACTTTAGGGAAAAAAAGAAAACAGCTTAAGAATCTTTTTTTTCCAGGAGCAGTGAGAAGGACCTATGTACATTATGAACATTTTTGCTTTTGATATATTATTACAATTTATTTAATCTTGTCCATAGTGTTTTCAAACGACTTTCTTACTTATTTCTTACTTGTGTCAATATTATTAGCCAAAACCCAGATTTTATTATGGAGCATTTGAGCAAACCCCATGAACCTGAATTGGTAAACCCCGCCCACCCAAGTGTTTAACCCTCTGAAGCTCTTTGGTCTAATTACATCAACATACGACCAATATACCTGTGTGCAGGCACTTTTCAGTGTTAATTGTCCTTTTAACTAGGATGATGATGATGATGATTATAATTCTGTAATTATTGTAATAATAATAATAATTATTATTATTTCAGATAATTGGGGGTTTATGTAGGGAAGCTCTAACATATTTAAATCTGGAGGGGAAAGAAGGAATATAAACTGGCTGGTAGACCATCAGAACTCTAGCTTGTATTATTGGCTCTGACATTTAAAATCTATTCTATACTGTAAAAAAGTTGCTGGCACACAAGTGAAACAGAAAATCATCTAAATGTAGACACCATTTTTATTACCAAGAAAATGCTTTTGTTGATTATAAAGTCCCCGAACTGAAACAGAGCTGCCAGAATTACCTACAATAGCGATCTTGCTACTCATGGTTTAGTTGACCCGTCTATATGAGCAGATGATGAACACATTTCCTGAGAATTTTGTTTCTGCGGGATAAGTAAAGCTTGATTTCCTATGCATTTACGTCCTTCCTTCCTTAAACACCTCGCCACCACCAGAGCAATGACATCCTCTTCTCCGGTGGACCTTTAGGATCCTCCCAGTACGTGAGAGAACAAATGCTGCGGCTTGGAGTGGCAACACTGATCACTTGCAAATTCCTGGAAAGAAAGGTTTAAATAGTTGAGTGGTATGTGCGTTTTCTTCGGTGGCACAGTGTCTTAAATCGTTGTCCTCTGCAAAGTAGTTACCGATGTTCACAGAAGAGTTTGATGCAAAAACGCCTCGGCTGAACCACATCAGCCTAAAACTACCTTGCAGAGACACTGTGTGGCTGAATTACATGTAACGGTTACCTCACTTCTAAGTTACTGGCAAAAACACGCTGTACGAATGTATGTGCATTTATAGATATATTTGTGAAAAATATATATAGCACTCTGAATAGCACAAGCTCTCTGAAAACATTTATTTATTTATCTGGGTGACAAATTATCAGGCTGCGTGCATCTGCAGGGGTTATGATGGCTCCAGAGTCTCAGTTAAGGGGCAGACTCCCCTAACTCATGGTGAATCCCATGTAGCTGGGTTACCGCAAGCCACGCTGGAGTCACGGTACGCGTGCTCGAAGATCTTTTTTCCACGCTCCGCAATCTTCACCATCGAAGACATCGACGTTTTCCTCGAAGGGCTGCACGGCAGAGTCTCCCCCAGGCTATCTTTCTTCCTCTCCGTTTCTGCACAGCAGTGTGCTGGTGGGGAGGCTGCGTGGCAATCGAAGGAGCACGGGAGGCGGGACGCGGCCCCCACGCCCCCCGCTTTGTCAGCCTGCCCCCGCGGACCCCCG